TCCGATCGGTGATGATTCTTCGTATATCCTTTAAAGATATTCATGTATCGCTCTATTGGATACATCCATCTTAAATAAACTGGACCGCAAATTCTGCTTTCTCTAACTATATGAACAAGTAAGTGAACCATAATTTCAAAAAATGATGGAAGAAAATATATCTCCAATTGACACAAGAATATGGTAGCTTCATCTTCCAATTCATCTAATTTTTTGAAATCAATAACTTTACTAAATATGGCATTGAATACCAAAAACAATTTGGTTATAGTTACTCTCACATTTTTTGGTAGGATGACACAAATAGTCACTGATAGAAGTTGTTGCATCAAGATATGACAATCATGAGATTTCAAACCAATTAACTTGAGATCTTTCATTGATACAAATTTCTTGATGTTAAATGAGTAACCTTGGGGAACTTTGACACCATGCAAACACTCGTAAAAAAATTTCTTTTCCTTTTTATATAGAGTGTAACAAGCCGGAGGCAGATAAGTTCTTTTCCCTTTTTCTATTAGAGCCAATTGTTTTCGTATATCCATCGCCTCCATATCGAGACGAGATTGCTTACTATCTTTAGTCTTGCCTAAAATATTTAGAAGTGTTCCAATCAAACTATCACACACATTTTTCTCCACATGCATTACACCAAGACAATGTCTTACATCGAGACTTGACCAATATGGAAGATCAAAGAACACATACCTCTTTTTCCATATATTTCTCTCAAGTGACCCTTTTTCTTTTTCTCTCTTTCCAAAGGTAAACGATTTTTTTTCCAAACTCAAGTTGGTAATAATAGGTATCAGATTCACAAATAAGACACGTTTTGTATCCTTTGACACCATATCCAGCCAAATTACCATATGCAGGAAAGTCGTTGATTGTGCAAAATAATATTGCACGCATCTTAAACTTTTCACCAGAATATGCATCAGCAACTTCAACACCTTCCTCCCACAAAAGTCTTAAATCTTTAATTAATGGACTTAGATAAACATCTATGTCATTTCCAGGTTTTCGTGGTCTAGAAATCATCAGACTTAACAACATATACTTACGCTTCATGGAAAACCAAGGAGATAGGTTGTAAATCGTGAAAAGAACAGGCCACAAAGAATGGTTAGTACTCAGATTACCAAAGGGGTTCATTCCATCGGTGGCAAGCCCAAGCCTAAGGTTTCTTGGCTCAGTGCCAAAATCTGAAAACAACGAATCAATTTTCTTCCATTGCAAAAAATCAGCTACATGGCGTATGTTTCCATCACATTTTCTTTCATTTGCATGTCATCTAATATTTTTTGCGTCATTCGCATTAGCAAAAAGTCTCTTGAATCTTGAAATTATTGGCAAGTACCATAACACTTTAGCAGAAGGTCTTTTCCTACTAACATTGTCAGTGTCATTGTCATCACCATTGTTGTCCTTTAGCTTGTAACGCGACACCCCACATTCTGGATATTGATCCAAATTTTTATACTCTTTCCTCTATAATATGCAGTCATTAGGGCATGCATGTATTTTTGATATACTTAAAACTCATTAGACACAATATCTTCTTGGCATCATAACAATGATCACACAAACTATCATCTTTAAGTAGCATTTTTTTTAGCAAAGAAAGAAATTTCGTGAAACTTTTATCCGACCACCCATTTTTCGCTTTCAAATTAAACAATTTTAAACCTGCAGACAATCGTGTAAAACTTGTGCACCCTTTATATAAATGGGTGTCCTTATCACTACATAAAGTATCATACATATGAGTTTTCTTAAAAGAAGAATCTCCAATATCATGGAACATATCTTCTAGACGCTCATCCATATATTCATCTTCATCAACTTTGTGACGCAGTGTTTCGTTTTTTTTCCACCTCATAATTCCACATCCATATTATATAATTTTGACATATACCATCACAACATAGGTGATGGAATATCTCATTGTTTGTGCCTTTATTTATATTCTCGTAATTAACACAAGGATAATAAAAGATACCATTATTTTCGGAAACATTTTGATCAGCGTATTCAAGAAATTCAAGAACTCCTTTCTCATATAGCGGATATATTCTATAAACTTTCATCCAACTACGATCTATAACAAATTCTGAAATTTATATCAAAATAATATTGTGAATGACACAATAAAATCTAAACCTAAAGAAAATCGAAAAACTGAAGCATATTCATAACAATAATACAACTCTAAATCTTAAGCATATGGATATCCATTGTAACAAAGTTATAAATTGTTCAATGCTAAATCCAACAACAAAACATAAAGCATATGAACTTTGCATGAAATAGACCATAAAATCAAACAAGAATGAAAATAGTGAAGATTATCAAGAATTAGGAAGATGAGGAAGAGAGTGAAGTTTGCACGAAACATACTATACTTTGAAGAGGAAGATACCAAGAATGAAGATAGTGAAGATTATCAAGAATGAAGATTCAAATGAATGAAGATTGTGAAGATGAAGATTTACTATCTCTTTCGTCTCTGGTTCGCTAGTTTGCTTAGGGTTATGAAGGAAATAATGAATCTGTTTTGTTTTAAATTTATCAGGAAAACCTTTGACCATGATTGTTACATTCAAGCGCAGTGAAATGTAGATCTTATTACCACAGTTGTATAGTAAAATTGTGGTTAAATAGTTTTCAATTATTTATTTATTTATGAACTTAAGTGACACACGCTTTTTGTAATAGGAAAAATAGAAAAAATGTAGCTGCTAGGATTCGAAGCTTGTAACACTTACTTTATCACCATGGTTGTTTACCTCAATCGTGATTAAATAACTTTCAAAAAAATAAAAAATATATCAGGCACATCCAGTTTGCTATACTACAACGGTGAAAAGCCTAACCGTAGTAGTATTAGTGTTACTGAAGGTGTATTTTGTAATAGTGTTCCTTTATTCAACTAAAAGCTTTGTGGGGAAGCAGAAGCTGGATCCGGTGTTGGATCTTGGTATAGGATGTGGGAGACTCACACTTGTGGGGGGGGGGGGGGGGGGTAGAATGTTGGGTACAAGTGTGAGTGGCTAAAGTCTCACATTGCCTAGAATGGGTGAGATGTTGGATTTATAAGAGAGATGACTCATTTATCTAACACCTTAAGGTTTTGGTTTGAGATGTTGTGTCTCCCTCTCTTGTGGTTTTGAAGCATTAGTTCTTCTGGTGCTCCCGACTCTCCCAACAGTGGTATCATGAGCTTTTGGTTCGAGTGAAGAGACCGACTCACTTGTATTGAAAGTATCCCCATATGGTCGTGGGTAGAGTGTCCCGTTGAAGAGTGTCAATGGTGGTACAAGTGTATGTGATGAAAAAAGGGAGCTTTCGTTTTTTTGGGGGGGTACTGTGGATAAATTCATAATTGAGAGGGAGTATTGAGAATAACAAGTGTGAGTAGTGTGGGGAAGTCTCACATTGGTTAGAAATGTGGAGACTTAAGCATTTATAAATGGGAGAACCCACACACCTAACATCTTAAGGTTTTGGTTAAGTATGTGATGTGTCTCCCACAAAGGTGTGTTGGTCTTAAAGAAAAGTCTCAAAGTAAAAAATGTTTCTTCTTGTTAACCCCTCGAATTAACCCCCAACAAGCTTAAAATCACATGTTTGATCATCTGTTGGTATTTTCTATTAGTTAGTTTCTTTGCCAACCACTAGTAAAGTTTTTTCTTTAAAAGAAAAACTTAGATGTATTCCCTGTTAACGTTCTATTTTGAGACATTTAAGAAATAGTACACATGGTATAACATATATGCGATAAAACATGTTTTCAGAATACAGGGTACAAAATAATTTGTTACTTATAATAGTACAAAGATCACAACGACTTATTTATCAAAAGTTCAAGATCATCCGACGATCGTAAAATAAGATGCTATAAAAGACTTAATTTCTCATTATTTTATTCATCAACTCAACGAACGACATTGTGAATATTTGAATAAACATTTGAGAATCAAATTAAAAAAAGAAAAGAACTTCTATATAAATAATACATAAAGAATAAGCTCTAATGAAAGAAAAAAAATAAGCAAGCTAGTAATTTCATTATATATGCTTTATGTTAAAAGATTCAAACACTTGTAGTTGTTTTTAAAATAGCTTACATCCTCTGTTAAGTGATATTTGTAACCACCCTATCAATTATCTGTTTTTTCGATTGCAATTTCTGAATGGATTAAGTGTTATCGAGATTTTGTGAGATGATAAAGAGATCCAATTGTTATCAGTCATTTATGTTTTAAATCTAATATATTTAGGTTAGTTGGATTATGAAATATCTTAATAATATTATAATTTTCTTTTATTATAGTAAAAATCTCTTAACGTGAGAGGACTTGACGTAATTTAGAATTAAGGCGATAATCTAAAATAAACTTTGTATTTTATCTCTTTATAAAACCCGAATTTTAAAGTGAAAAATATCTATCTATATAAGTGTTTACATCATCTATCTTTAAGTAATCTAACTTGCAGTTTTCTCCACATTGATGTTCCACCTCCAACATGACAGCATCGGTTGTCAAGTTATAAATTTTCTTGGATTTATCCTACCAGTAACCCCAAGTGTAAACATAAATTCAATACATTAGAAGAAGAATAAAGGAAAACTAATATAATAATTCACTAGCTGACATTTGTGTGGAAAAAATAATAATCAAGGACTGGAGTTTATAACCAGGTAAGTCTTTGGAGTGACCTCAGTTCTAAATTTAAATAAGTGTTGATTCAAAATTGAAGTTAAAATATAGTTTAGTCAAAGATTCGCCTAAAACAAAACAAAATTTGATGTCGTTTTGAATATGAGAAATGTACAATGAAACCTTGGTCATTTAATTAATTTTTACTGTGAATTTATCCAAAAAGATTTAAAGTTGAATCTTCCTCTTTAGTATGTTTATATATACCATCCTCTTTCTCCTTAATTTGACATCACAAACCAAAAAGCTAGCCAACATTACTTATTCACCAATATCATGGCTAACTCCAAAACCTTCTTCTATCCAACCTTCTTCACAACCTTTCTCTTCTTTTCCTTTGTAAACGCCACTTACTATCAAGACATATCTCCATCATTCCTTGGTTTCAAACAAGAGAAACTCACTCACATCAACTTTTTCTTCCATGACATCGTTACAGGCCCAAAACCCACCATGATCATATCCTCTGAATCTCCCTTAAACGGTAAATCCGAATCTCCCTTACCGTTCGGGACCATAGTGGTTCTGGAAGATCCACTAACAGTTGGACCCGAACTTAGTTCCGAACAAATTGGAAAAGCCCAAGGCTTCTACTTAACCGTTTCTCAAGCTGCCGTGCGTGATTTGGAGTTAGTTATGGGAATGACTTTTGTGTTTACACAAGGGAAATACAACGGTAGCACGCTAAGCGTGCTTGGGCGCAACACGATTATTGCTCCGATAAGAGAAATGCCGATCATTGGTGGAACCGGAGAATTTCGATTCGCACGTGGTTTTCTTCAGGCGAAATCGTATACAGTTGATTATCATTTAGGTGATGCTGTTGTGGAATATAATATCTATGTGTTTCATTATCCTTCAACTTCATCGTCTCCAGAGGTTTTTGATGACGGTAGTCGATTCATGAACGAACATATGTTTGGCATAATATAGAGAAAAATGTTTAAGAACTAAATTGTAAGTGGAGAATAAGGTGCATATATGTAAGCTATCTAAATAACTGGGATGCGTATTATTGTTAGTTTGTAATTGGAGGGGGAAGAGACAAATGACAATGAAATGTATTTGACCTAAGAAATATATAATGCTCAGTAAAAGTTTTTGATGTTTTGTAGTTTCACCTTATTAATTTTTAATTGCATTCTAAGTTGACAAAATTACACTTGATTTTTTTTTTTTTTGAATATTCGACTATTACTTTTATTTTTAATTATTTTTTTCAGGAATATTATTCTTACATCCATTTTGACACAAAATATTTAATAGTAACAACATTTTTTAAATAAAAAATATATATTTATCTATAATTATATATAAAGGGAATACAAGTTTTTAGTGTGGCCTATTTTTATTCCAAAATTACTCTTCATTATTTTTATAAATAACTTTAATTGTTAGTAACTTTTGTTGGTTACCAAATAAAAAACTAACTTCCCTCTCTCACAAACAAACTTCACATTTATAACTTCCATTGATTATTTTGTTTTGACACTAGGTTTATCTCCATTGTTAAAAATCATCTTCTATTTCTATCTCCATTGTTAATACTAGGTTTATCCATACAATCAAACATCAAATCCATATCACGAACCAACCCAGGGTACTTCCTCAAAACTACAACAAATCCCAAACGTTGCACATAGTCCTATTTACTTTCCTATTTTACCCTTTATGTATTCAAATTATTATTTTCAAAGATAAATTATAATAAGTGAAAGACAGTTACATCATTCTTAAATCAAAAAACCATTTTGTGACTGTTTATATTTTAAAAAAATAAAATATAAGATAATTGAATAACTTCCCATATTTGAAATTTTTTGCTTCATTTTTATCTGTCGCTTTTCCTTCTCATATGGCAGCAACGGGTGAGGAAAAGACTTTACCAACAAAACTTGCATGTACAATAGAATTTCAAGCAGCAAATTTGAAAGAAAAAAAAAGGTAATATCCATCTTATCTAGGAAAATTGAGATCTATCTCAATCTAAAATATATCACTATCTTATACTTAAAATTTGTCATTTAACCAATTATGTTACTATTTATCATTTAAATCTTGGGATAATTCAATCATATAAATGTTTGAAGAAATTATATTACACAAAAATGTTAAATTTTACATCCTACTTTGATACAATTTTGTTTTATTTATATTTTTTTATTGTATATAATTTTTTTGATTCTTTATGTTTGACTATGGAATAATTCATCTCAAATTTAGAATTATATTGTTATTGTAGAATTCATGCATGCTTGATTCGTATAGTTTCAGTTTTTGTTGTTCACCACTTATTTCATATAGTTAAGAATAATTTGTGTTCAAATGAATTATTTAGAACATTGTTTTGATGTTATTTTACCCTATTTTTAAAATAATTTGTATTCATTATCTTGGTGGGAACAATGTTTGGTCAAGCTTATGATCTCTCAGGCCAATTCTTCTATCTTTTTATTTCTTTTTCAATCATCATCTTTTTTTTCTTCAAGTTATCGTTTTCCATTGCATATACTTATTTTTTATTTATTTTAATTTTGATTATAATTAATGATATTTGGTCGTGGTATATTTTTTGTTTCTAATCTTTCTTCTTTGATGTTTGATTATAATTGAATTAGTTGTCATTTAAATTTACATATTTTGCTGTTATATTTTTCAAAGTGTTGATTTGTATTATAAATGAGAATATTTTTTTCAATGGAACAGGTATACACAATTATATACAATGACAATTACAATATTAAATAACTCCCGTATCTATTTGCTTGAGTAACTTTTCACTCATTCAACTTATATATACAAAATAAAACACATAAAAAAGAGGGATAACATAATTTCAGTATTTTATTTTTTATTTCTATACGTGTGACCTTCATATTAAACACATCTTTAACCATGAGGAAAAAAAGAATAATAATATTAACAACAAAATTTATTGTAAATTAATGAAAATTTGAAACACTAACCATTCACTTTCTTAAATTAGTTGAATTTTATTGTTAATTTTTTATTTACAATTTTTACTTTTTATGTTAGAGACATGAAAAATAAATGTCATATTACTTAAAAATTTAATTTGAAAAATAATTTAACTTTTAATTAATTAAAAAAATGATATTTTAAAATTTCTTACAAACATGAGAGTACCTAAAAATTTTAAATTTAAAGCATAATTAAATAAAAAAATATTCATTTATCTTTTAACGTGTGTTCATTAAAAATGCAGATAAACAGACACAGAAGTGTCCGTATAAATGTTAGTAATATATTCTTTCTTTTCATAAGGGTAATACTGAAAACTCCTATGAAAACAGAAACTAATTTTAATTCTCTTTGGATACTGGGTAGATAGCTTGGAAGTAAAGACTGTTAAACTATTTTTTTTTTCCTTCAATATTACCCTTAAAATATACACATGTTTATTTTCCTATGTTGTGCGCATTAAAAAAAGCGGACAGACGAGCACGGGAGTGCCCGTCTGAACGCCAGTGTTCATAAAATGAATAGTACATGAGCATTGGTTAATACAGTAAAACAAAGTTAATTAATAAAATATAAATAGTTGATTAATACATGCTCAAATATTAAACATAATTTTTTATAGTAAAACAAAGTTGATTAATGAAAACTAAAAAATTGGTTAATGAAATTATGAAGTTATAAAGTTAGCTAATAATGATCAGATATTAAAAATAATTTTTAAAAGTAAACAAAGTTAGTTAATAAAATGTAAAATGTTGGTTAATGAAGTTATAAAGTTAAGTAATAATCACACAATTTTATATTAATATCCTTTCATATTATATATATATATATATATATATATATATATATATATATATATATATATATATATATATATATATATATATATATATATATATATATATATATATATATATATATATATATATATATATATATATATATATATATATATATATATATATATATATATATATATATATATATATATATATATATATATATATATATATATATATATAAAACTTTTTAATATTAAAAAAATTATATTATTATAATATTTTACGATTTACTATATTGGTGAACGGTAAAATACAATGTATGTGTATGTTGTGGTGTAGAAATATTTTTTTTATTTTATTTATATTCTCTTTTTCCTCCAATGTCTTATCAGCATTTCATTTTGTAAATAATATTTTAGGATATAAAATTATTGAAGAACATATAGGATCCAGCCCACTAAAAGAACCAAAACAATTAAGAAATCAAAAACCTATACCATCGGTAAGGCTATGTGAGGTCTTAGTCTCTCACAAAACCAACCTCTATAAACAATTATGTCTATAATATTTTTCACGATACTATTGTTATTTACATTATTTGCAAAATATTTATCGTTCCTATATCTCCAAATACCATGAATGGTTTCAGTTGCCGCCAGTTTGAGGATAACAGCTCTCCACCCTTTATGCGAACCTCGAGATATAATCCACTTCAATTCCTCATGCCATTCCAAATGAATATGATCCACATCAATCCATTGAAGGATGCTACTCCAAATGGTTTTAGTTTCAACACAATTAAACAATATTTGATCAATTGTTTCAACTTGGGGGCAGAAAACAAACTTCTCATTATCCATCAATCTCATTTTACACAATCTAGCCTTGGTGGAAGCCTACCATGATAGGCTTGCCATAAAGTTATCGCCGTCTTAGGCCTCACAACATTACCGTAGATCAATCTATGCCAACTAACTATCTCTTCACCCATGGATAGGGGTGGAAATAGGCTGAGTCGATCTAGGCTTTGCCAAGCCTAAGCCTGACCTGCCAAAACAACTGAAGTCTAAGTCTGGCCTATAGCTTGTCATAGGCTTATTTGTAGACCTGAGTCTGGCCTTTTCTAAGGCCTATTTAGCCTATATAAATCATGTTATTTTAAATAGACTAATAAAAAAAAACCAATGAGACTAAAAGTTTGTTTAGATTGACTTATTTTAACTTACCTATTAGCATAAGTTTTGTGAGATTATTTATTTAAGATAATTTATGAAAATAACTTATAACATCGTTCATAAGGTGTTTTCATCTTATTTTCATAAGTTCTCTAAGATAACCAATTTTTATTTATGTATTTTAATTTAAAGTACAAAATATAACATAATGATAATAAAAAAATTATTCATATTTATTTAAATAGGTCGCCCTATTAGGCTTAAAAGGCTTTTTTCATGGCCTGAGGCCTAGCCTTTTTTAACTAAACAGGCTTATAAAAAAGTCTAGACCTTTTCTATTTAAAAAAATATTGGCCTGGCCTGAGCCTGTGTAAGCTAGGCCCATAGGCCCCTGTTATTGGCCTGACCTATTTCCGGCCCTACCCATGGACCTAAGTTTTAAATAAACTTTTTTGAAGTAAAATTTTCACTGAATAATAACTGTTGCCAAAGATTATGAATATCAAGAAGAAGCATCTGACGGTGAAGGACCATTTTCATGATCCAAGAAAAGTTAGTAGTAGTAGTAACTACGTCCATGGCATCCAACCCCTTAAAGTAATATGTATGAAGCCGCTTCACCCACAAATTATCCACTTTCTTATAGAGGTTCCATAAAAGTTTAAGCATTGTCGTGTTATTCCACGTAGACAAATCTATAATGTTAAGACCTTCATGTTCCTTAGGCCTACACACATCTTTCTAATCTACAGTGCTTTTCCTATTCACATCCGACTTTCCACTCCACATGAAAGATCTCAAGATAGCATCAATCTTGTGAATCACGAATTTGGGGAGCGGTAAGCATTTCATCTAATAGTTTGCGTCAGCAAACGAGACAGACTTTATAAGTTGCACTCTTCCGGCATAGCTGAGGAGTTTACTGCTCCAATGTCTAACTTTTTCCACCACTTTATCAATAAGAATCATATAATGTTGAATATTAAGATTC